GATTTGTGACTAGTTGCCACCTAGGAAACATGAACTTCAGAGATGTATAGTCGTATATTACAGCTGTCACAAAATGAAACATTGGATCACATTCCCAATGTCTTGCTGTTTAAATTTTGAAACGTTCTATTGTAACACATAATAAATAATCTTTAAGATGAAACTGTTTACATTCTTTTTAGAATGTATGCAATACTTTGGTTCCAATTTTCATAGTTACAGTATGATGTGAGTATTCATTTCTGTTTTGGTATCATGCTCATACAGTATGTAGTCTTGTGATTTTTGACATTTGTCTCTTCCTATCTGCCTTTTCACAGTGATGTTAAAAATTATGCAACAAAATGTTTTGAAATGAAATTTGACAAGATCCAATTTATGCTGATTGGCTTTCATTATCACCTTCAGAAATGTGTCACTTTTGTCAACTTTGTTTGACTGCTGATGATCTTGAACTTGAACTGGAATCTTGGTGTCATCTTTGATCTAAGCCTTACATTTGAAGTCCATTTTGCAATGTTTCTTTTTCATGTTTGTAACATTACTTCATACCTTCCCCAATGTGATGCAGATGTTTTGGCTTTTCCAAGCTTGACCATTGTAATGCAATGTAAGCTTGGTGTATCAAAACATTTTAAACAATTAGTAGTACAATATTTTCATAACTCAGCTGCTTGGATATTTAAATACATCTAAATTGCACACATAGGATATCTCCCCTTTAAGCTCACTTGTACTGGCTACATGTAGATCTAAAATAATACAATTCTGATGAGTCTTGGTCCTATCATTCTTGATATATCAATCTTAAACTTATAGCCTACTACAATCATGCTACAACGTCCCATACATTCAGTCTGTAAAGTACTGTGTAAGTGCTTTGGCACAGTCCAATATCAAGAGAGACTCTTTTATTTGGAATACATTCCAACTAATCATCTGTCATCCAGTTAGAAATGTACAATTTAGCATAATTACAGCTTGAATGAAAGATGTACCAAATTTTCAGTATGACATCTCCCTATAACAAGAAAATTAGACCAAATCAAAGCTTTTTTCACCCCTAGTATTTGATCTTTTATCACTTGACATTATCTTAACACATCAGTTTACAGCCACTCACTCTTCACTTTGTGGAGCTAAAGAGGCACTGAGGCAGCAGTTTTACTGCACATAAGATTGTTATTTTAATAACAGCCATCTGGTTATCTGTGTATCTTTATTTTGGTTGCTGCATGAAAACCTTTGATTTGTTTTGCAAAATAATACATCATGAAGAAAAAAACATTATACTAATCTTGAAAAAGATCCTACACATATTACATTATTTAAAGATCCTTCACATATTACCTACTGTACAGTGTCTTACAATAATCCTGAGGATAAAAGTAATGCCAGAAGAGAAGATAAATACAATAACATTTGATGTTATTTTTCCCAGGATATTAATTGTTATTGTATGTTGCATATGCTAGAAAAATGCCAATTCTTTTAAGGATTTATTTTGGAAGAAAAAAATAATCAACAGCTGGTATATTCATTTAAATAATTTTGAAAACCCAGCAATATAGAACTATCCACCAATTTTCTTCACTTCAACCAACTCAAGGTCCCATGGGGAACCAGAGCCTAACCCAGAAAGCACTGGGTCCAATGCAGGATACATCCTGGACAGGATGCCAGTCCATCGCAGGTCACACGCAGGCACAAAGACGCACGCTCTCACAACAGGGCCAGTTTTCAGAGAAACCACTTAACCTACCAGCATGTCTTTGGACTATGGAAGGAAACCAGAGCACACAGCAAAACCCCACACAAACATAGGTACAACATATAAACTCCACACAAAAAGCACCTCAGGCCTGGAATTGAACCCAGGGCCCGAGCACTGTGAGGTAGCATTAATAACAACTGTGACCCCATGCCACCCAATATAGAAATAGAAATTCCTGTATGCATTTACAGTATATGGGTTACTTCAGCTTAGAATCAGCATTTGTTATCTTATCCTATTTTTATTTTGTTGATGGCAGCCTATATACAGTAAACTCACTGTAAGTAGCCTTTTCATGAGATTTCTTTTCATAGTTTTTGTCCTTATTTACAGAAAGTGCTTTTCAGAGCACCTGTGGTCTACAATCTGCAAAGCGATTGGAAGCACTGAGTTAACAGAGCTAATGAACAGTGTCCCTGTGTTGCCATGCCAACTTCCTGATTGGCTCTTCTACCGGTCTAGTTGCAGTTAGATTGCCTTTCTCAACAATGCAGGTTAAAAGCAACGCATGATTATAATTTATGGAGATTGGCTATAAAAAGGTTCCCATTATATGTACTTAGCATCCAATGAAACCTATTACTTATAACTGCAACAAATTCAGAGTTATTATTAAGACAATTACAAAATCATTTTCTAGCAGGTGCACTGACATTTTAGTGAACAGATAGGACAGTAGTATATTATGTTCATTATCATTTGTAATTAACAGGGTTGATTAACAGGGTGCCTGCTATGGTAGTCATATGCTTGTAGCGTGTGTACCTATTGCTAGATGCAATACAAGCTCAACATCTATAGGGCACAATGTGTAATAGGTAGGAGATATTGTCTTCTGGGATTCTGCACCATTCCTCTCATATTACCTGGAAAAGCTTGTGTCTGTTAACTTGTCCCTGAGCCGTGGATGCAACATGTCATCCCAGTTCTTCTGACAGCTATTTAATGGGACTCAGGTCTGGAGAGTAGGTTATACGTGACTTAAATGTCACATTCTCATCACACAAGAAAGACATTGCTACAACATTAGTGTGAATATTGGATTGTCCTGCTGAAATGTAAACATGTCTGGATGAGTTTGTAGGAAAAGTAGCAAGTGTGGCTGACCCATGTATTGCTGTACTGTCAGGTTACCATCAAACATAACAAATTCTGTAACAATTAAATACTCCTGTCCATATCATCATACGTGGACCTTCCAATCTACTGGTCTCCCTATCAACTCTGCATGTCTGCTCTCACTCACTGGCATTTGTCAGAATGATCTCACAAATCCTTTACCCTTGATACAAGCTCAAACTTCTCCCTCCAACAACCAGCAAACTGGCTGCTCATGTGCAGCAAGTGCGCACAAACGCCTGCACACAGTTTCATCAGGCAAAACACAAATTATAACAATGCAGGACAAAACAAATATAACAACGATGGTGCTTACAAATGTTTCATTTGCGTATTCCTTGAGCTATGTATGCAACATAAACAGGCAGGTAGGCAGTTCATCTAAAGCCCAGCAGACAACATTATTTTGCCAGCTAATAACAACATTTATTATGAAATAAATGTGAAAGAATATCTTCACCCAAAATTGAAGCATTGAAGCACATTCTGCTGCCAACTACTAGGACCTCAAGGCTCACTCATAAAAACAATGACAATTAAATAGCCTGCATTACTAAACAAAAATCAACACTATAAACATTCTCTCTGGGAACATTACTGTAGGTGTCATTTGATAATAAACAATAACGCACTTTCCCTGTCTGGCTAATACACGTCTGAACGAGACTTAATTTATCATTGAATGATAGCCTTATGAACGCATTGCAATCAAACTCGCCACAATATCATCCATATCTATACAACCAATCACCATTTTCATGATTGAAAGAATGGAAAAATTGGCAGGATGGATGTACTGTAAATGCATAGGCTACAGAAACTATAGAAAGTGATGTTAATGCATACAAAACCTTCTCCAAATCATGGAGCAGATGCAGACACCCTTCACTATTTAAACCCTCCATTCTCTCCGAATCATTGCTCAGTATTAGGAATCTATCTGCCTCCTGAGCTTGCATTGTCCTCTACCTCTGACCTCCGACACGAAGACTCTTCGAGCCTTGGACCTCTCGACAACGCTTTCATCTCGCCCCTCTCGGATTTGTTTGCCTCGCTGATCTCTCAACCCGGATTCGACCTCGCTTGGAACTGCTGACCACTCTGCTGCCTCTCCCTTCTCGGACTCGTGAGTCATCGGACTCTCTAAGAGACCTGCACAGGGTTCTTAATAACTCGCTCGCAACAGGTAAGTGCAAAGTAACAGATGCAGATAATTAATGTACATTATATAAGGATTTTGTGATTCAAACTGAAAAAGATATTAAGGGGTTAATAAAAACAATAAAAAGTTCTTCAGAATACTAGAAAACTAGTTTAAAAAACAGATATTGAATTTATATTAGTTAACAGTATGCAATGAACTAGTAAGACCACATTTAATATGTTACATTCAACACTGATAATGTTACGAAATAGCACTGGTGCCCTCAAAAAACTTTAAACTGGTGCCCTAAAAGATTGCATATTACTTTCCTTAAAGATAAGGAAAAATTGTTTTAATTGAATCTATGAAAGCCAAATGGGAAAAAAAACAGACTCATTTATATACACTATAATAAATTGCAAATAATTAAAACATGTTATTGCCAAAAACAATCACCAATAATAAACTGATAATAGATTTTAAGTAATTTTTAGTAATTGCTAGTAATTACTAATTATACATGGCGTTATCGTGTAATTAATTATTAATTACTGGGTAAAAGTCTATCCTTCAATAGATGGTTTATTAATTATATATATGATATATAAATCTCATTTTTTGTTAAAAATACTATATTAACACCACCTGAGTATCTCATATTTTTGATGTAATGTAATCTTTAATAATTTGTTGAAAATCCTATGTTATTAGGAAACTTTCTGCAAACCATTAAACGTTCACTTCAAATTCATATATGTTGACAGGGTAACATTGTTCTTGGTCGGTTAATTTGATTCTTTTAAAGTAATCCATACAGAAAAAATAAACAAATTTCTGTGATAAACACAAATGTAAAAAGGTGAATACTTTGGGTTAAAATGCCCCATTGCAATTAGCAGTGTCATTGACACATTCTTGCACCTCTTGTTACAAAATGTAATGAAACTAGAATTTAATCAATACCTTATGTCGGAATCTCACTAGGGGTTGATAAGTTTTTGGTCCATATCCATCCTTGCTTGGCCTTCCTTCTGTTTCCAGTAAGACAACTCCAAGCAATAAAAGTGCTGACCACCATTTATGTGTCCTCATTGGTCTTTGCCTGTCAAAATTAGAACAATAAATAATTAGGTGACTCATTTGTTGCCCATTTTCTTTGGAAGTTGTTCAATACTGCTAATGCATCAGCACCAATGTAATTAAAGCACACAAAATCTGACATTAAAACCATTGCAAATCTGACTAATGTCTGAACTACTGTTATCAATAAGTGCTACACAAACAAGTAGAGGATTAGATCTATTTGGGGTCAATTAAAATAGAACACACCACTTGAATAAAAAAACATAGAATTTATGTATTATATATTTTATAAGTTTAGCCTTAATGTGTTATGCTGTTTTACATTTATGTTATACAGTATGTTTCACAGTTTGAATAATACAGGGTTATTAAATACAAACCATATAAAGCCTGATTATTTCTGTTGGAAATGTTTCTTAAGTGCAGATGATGTAACATACTCTTTGATACATATCTTCTTGATATAACATACTCTTTGACACATCTTCCTACACACCACAGTGTAAAGCTGTAAAGAAATCAAGCCCTAAATGAATGCAAACATACATTTTGTTTCTGCTTGTTTACATACAGTATTTATCGGGTCCTAGGTTATCACTTACCATAAATTAAACAAATGTGCAGAAAGATGACTGAAAAATGGTACTGTCGAGTATACAGTATATTAATCGCATGAAGTCAATTTTCCATGGTGGTTTCCAGATCCACAAAAATAAAACTATGTATCAGTACATATGACTCTACTCTACTTAGATTGAGCTTCAAGTAATATACAGTATTTTTCATAACAATGGAAAAAAAACAAAATAGCTAGGTACTTAAAATAAGTAGCCCTTTTTTCAATTGTTTTTTTCTAAGTATGAAAATGAAACATTACTTTTATAATTTTGCCAGTTTGCTAACAAATTTAGTTCTTCTGAATTTTTGTTTCTTGGCATCCGTTTTTATTATTTGTACTTTAATACAAATAGTAGGTCTTTTGGAAAATGAATGTTTTTGTTCTAAAAAGCTAATAGAGTATATCATGCAAGTGCCACCCTTCCTTTAAATCTCTCTTTTTTCAGTGACAATTAAAACATTGAGACACTTCCCAATCCTGATTCTGAAATCGCTGCTGGTTTTTATAAATATCTCTTTTTTAAAACTGAATTAAGAACTTGCTCAATTTGAAACCTTGGTATGATATTTTTCTTTTCAAAAGTCAGAAATTTTAAGTAAGAACCAGGGTGAGAATCCATGATTTAATATATGGACTATTACGTATATTGTATATACAGTATACAGTATGTGTATGTATATTTACTGTATATTCCAGCAGCACTCCACAAAATCAAGAAATATACACTCAGATGTACCATACTAATGAAATAATAACCACAGAAAATAAAACACATGATGTAGAGCTGCTAAAGCATTACTTTATCTTTAATTTCCACTCTAGCTCCTGTCAGGGGTTCAAAATGGTCTGTCTTCTTAGCCAGCTAAAACCTTTATCTTGTGCTGTCATCGGTAACACTAGTGAACATGAACATGCAGGAAAAGGAATTTTCTTTAATAAATCTTTCCTCCTCTTTATGCACTACTCAAACAGAAGCATGAAAGTTTGAAAATGTGAACTAAATGAGAAAGAAGCAAATTAAATGCCAGGAATTATATTTTTGTACTGGTGGTTCAAAATTGTTCAAATCTGTGCATGCAACATTGAGTTACAGAAGGACATATTTTCTTAATTTTAACTATATTATACAGTACTTACGGTTTATAAGGAAGGATATTATTCTTGTCTAAGGTATTATTTATAATTTAATTCCAAATTATTTTCTACCTTTTTGAAATGAAACATTAGCAAATTTATTTTGCCTAATTTGATGTTACGTTTATATAGTATGTTGATGTTGCCTTTTTCCATATCAAAGCCAATGTTTATCTGTTACTGGGATGAGCACATAATGAACACTGACTCATCTCATCTCTTTTTTAACCTTTCTTATGGTCTAAAATGGTTTTGCTGGAAAAATATTTCTTTTGTTTGTGCTGAATATAATGGACTGACACTTAATAAAAGGTTTGAGTATAAAGTACAGTATATAATAAAAGGGAGCTGACTCCTCATTCAGGCTGTAAAGGAACAAGTGTAGGTTTATTCCAGTTAAAGAAAAAAAGTTTTAGTTTTTTTAACCCACCTGAAAATGCTTAACAGATGAATTTCTGTTATTCTGTTTTTTCTTTCTTTCTGCTTTGCAGCTTGGAATACGACTTTGATTTAAACCTATCTTTAGGGATATTTATCTCCAGTGTTTCAGAACTGATCATTTATAATGGATAGCATTTTGTATGCTTCATCTACTGTAGACATTATAGAGAATTTCCTAAGATAATTTTAATGAAAATGCATAACTTATGAATATACTAGATTCTTTTTTTTCTGCAGATTGGACATTTTCACGCTTGTACAACTCAACATGACAGCATGCTGAAACATGAAACTTGGCAGGCTGAAAGCACTTAGTGAGAACTTTTTTTTGGGAACCAAAAATAATGATCTTGCAATTACCAAGCTATTTTGAGATTTATTCATGCATACAGTACATAGGTTATTTTTTGCTGAACTGATACACAAATTCTCACATTTAACATATTTCTCCTCTCTATAGTCCACAAAATTGAATAATTTCCATCTTATATTTGAAGAAAAGAAAAATAGTAACCGTCCATTTTAGTTTATACTGTATGTTTAACTGTCTTCTCCATTTGTTCTCTAAAACCATACATAGTTATATTAATACATCTGAATTATTAAAATTCCCAAGACAAACCACGTTTTTATGAAGAGACATGCACCGAACTATGAATACATTTAAAGTACACCAAAAAAATAGACTTAGCAAAATTACAGAATTATGCCTTTTGTTTTTAATGAATAAATGTTTTTACACATCTACTAAATATTATTAGCATTTAGAAAAAAATATGAAAATAATTTGTTCCAACCAAGAGATAATCAAACAGTAAGAAGGGCTATCCCAGGAATCTTCTGAAGACACCGTAACTAAATTATACTTATCCTCAGTGTACCTTCCCATGATAATTCATTCTAAATGATGACAAAGGTCAAAATCAAGGTCAAGTCTGGTTAATCTACTGCTACAGGGTGGGGGTAGGGGTTGCTGTGAAGATACAGTTAAAACTGAATACCCAGAATGATACATGACATTTTTAAAATACTGTAATAGAAAGGCCTAGTTAAATTCACTTCAGCTTTTGGCAAAAAACAACAACAATTTCTCTGTTTTGAAAATTAATTTAGCCCTAGGGGCAGTTTCCACCTACAGTACCACACAGAGGCTATTAATATGCATAAAGCATAATAATAATTAAGAAAAAGATAATTGCAAGCAGTAATCATTCAAGACCATCTACTGTTAAGAGCAAGAACAGAAAAATAATACAATTCGTTACTATATAATGTTTTAAAACTGCAAAGTTAATTCGGGAATATGACTATAATGCAAATGCATCCTTACTCTTTCCGAGAACTGAACGGTCCAATAAACACTTACTGTGCATGAGCCAATTTAACTATTCACAGGAATTATACTGTAATATCACCACTGAGTCCTAGAACTGAGGACTCCTAAAAAAGGACAGCCTAGTTAACCTACAGAATCTTGAAAATTGGTCTTCAACAAAGCATGCATTTTTCATGTCTACTGCACTAACTTCTCCTTTCCAAATAAACACAATTAATACTCACACTTAAAATGGTGTTTTAAGGTATAGTTATGAACTAACACTCGAGCTGATGAAATATGTCTATTTACATGTAATGATAATAGATACATTATAAACATAATATCTAATTTATTAGTTCTAAAGTTTTATTAAAAGTTATTTCAGATTTAAATGCATTCCACTGTATATTAGGTTTTAAAAAGCAATTACTATTTTTTTGTACTTCTCTTCCTCCTTCAAATGTATATAATAACTATTTGTGGGCTTTCAGAACAAAATCTGTTATGTCCATGTGGTTTTGACAAGAGTGGTGACATACTGTAAGTGATATCTTGGGTCTATCTTGAACAGGGAGTAAGCTGGTTGCCACTTTTCAATAAATATAGTTCATAATTTGGACAGATCACCACTGAGTTAGGCATAGATAAGCCTCTCTTAGAGATCATGATGGACTAAGTAGAATTAATAGTTTGTTTACAGACCTTGAGCTTTTATCATATAATAACCCAAACTGTTCAGGATTACAGAGCAAAACTAAACTCTAGTATTGGTGACCCTAACCACATGTTTAAGTATGTTGTTACCCATAAAATAATAACCCCTATTTCTTAATTTTTTTTCATACATACTGTACTAACACTGTACAGCTATGGGCTGAAATTGTTTAAAGAAAAATCTTAAAGCTCAGATTTTATGAAGAAGAAATTACTTCTATTCTTAGAGTTTTCATTTTGTCTGAATCTAGGGTAAAATACACTAGGGATTTTTTTTTTCTGGAGAATAAATTCAAATTAGATTTACCTTTGAAAAAAGCAATTATATTACCAATTTATTAATACAGAAATTAAACCTATCTATAGTATATTTAGTTCATTGAATAAAATGATTCTCAGCAAAATTGATATATTTAGTGTTTCTCATGAGGTATGGAACAGTTTAACTTATTTTAGAAATAATTGCTTTGAACATTAATAACACGTTTATATTTAAGTACATTGTAGTGTTCTGCATCAAATGTAAAAGTGATTATTTGAGTTTTCGTTTGCATTTCAGAACAGTTAGCATTTCTTAGCATTTCATTTTTTCCCTTTTGTCCTATAAGTATATTAACTTAATGGCTTTGGTGTGTCAGGAAAAATAATCCTAATTATTTAGGGTATTTAGGTTAAAAAACCCAGAGAACAATAATCTGAAGATGCTATGAAACAGGCTATGAAAAACCATACCTTTGGTTTTTATCTTGTCAAAAATGTATAAAACATCTTATTCAGAAACAACCACCCCAGA